TGTGTGTGTCTCTCTCTCTCTCTCTCTCTCTCTGTGTGTGTCTGTGAGTGTGTGTGTCTCTCTCTGTGTGTCTCTGTGTGTGTGTGTGTCTCTCTCTCTCTCTGTGTGTGTGTCTCTCTCTCTCTCTGTGTGTCTGTGTGTGTGTGTCTCTCTCTCTCTCTCTCTCTCTCTCTCTCTGTGTGTGTCTCTCTCTGTGTGTCTCTGTGTGTGTGGTGTGTGTGTGTGTGTGTGTGTGTGTGTGTGTCTCTCTCTCTCTCTCTCTCTGTGTGTCTCTCTCTCTCTCTGTGTGTGTGTGTGTGTGTCACTCAGATTCATCTCAACACTGATTCCTCTTTCAATTTTGCTGCTTTCATCTCAGCTAATAATCTATATTAATATTGCAAAACGACTGAATAATGTGCACATAACAGCTTAAATATCTGACCCTGCAGCACAGAAGCAGTGTTAAGTCGCTGGGGGATATTTGTAGCAATAGCCAACAATACATTGTGAGAGTGTGTGTGTGTGTGAGAGTGTGTGTGTGTGAGAGAGAGTGTGTGTGTGAGTGAGAGAGAGAGACACACAGATGATTTTCTCAATATTTAGATTTTTTTGCACCCTCAGATTCCAGATTTTCAGATATTGTTCTATCCTAACAAACCACACATCAATGGAAAGCGCATTTATTCAGCTTTCAGATGATGCATACATCTCAATTTCACAAAACTGACCCTTAAGACTGGTTGTGTGCTCCAGGGTGACAGATGTAGTAATGCATTCTCAGCCCGCTGTGTTTGATTCTCTTTCATTGCTCACGCTTCATTATTAAAGATCACTGGTGCTGAGAATCAGAATAACACAGACACTGATGTGATTCTTTCTGCAGGTTTAGCTTCTGTTTCCGCACACTGCTCAAGCTACTGAACATGTTTGTGTTGAGTGATTAAGTGGTGTTCTGGCAGATCTTCTCCACGCCAGCCGTTGGTGGATCACGTGCTCTCGTTCACGGTCGCAGACAGCAGGATCTGGCTCAGGAGAAGCGCACCGCTGTGGCGTCCTTCACTCGAGCGCTGCTCTGTGAACGGCTGGCTCTGTTGTCTCCACAGATCATGGAAGAAGACGCGTCTCTGGTCGAGATCAGCCCTCGTTTCGTCTTGAATCTCATCAGAACATTCCAGGGCAGCTTCGGTGGACCCACGCTGTATGAGAGCCCTCACTTTGAGCCGCCCAACACGGTGAGAACGCTGTTCATCAGGCTCTGAGGCACGTGCTTCTGCTTCACTTGATGATGTTTGTTTGTTCGTTCAGCACCGGCGGATGATCCGACAGAAGGAGAAGCGCAGAGAGCAGCAGGAGGTGTTCTGGACTCCAGCCGAGGCCACAGACACACAGAAGCAGCTCAGACGCACGCAGATGAAGAAGAGAACGCAGATGGAGCGCAAAGGCCTGCCATAAGCTGTGGTGTTCACTCATAAAACGTCCCTGTCACCACAGGTCTGCGTCGATATTATAATGAGCTCTGATCCCAGATCAGAGGTTCTGCTTCCTGAACAGTGTTTCTGTTGTTGTTCAGGTCGAGGAGCTGTGTTTCTGCTTCTTTTGTAATGCAGTGCGATCTTAATAAACCTTTTATTAATGTTCAAAGACGTGTTGATTTTGATTTGCTTGTTAAGGTTAGTAGAAAATACACAGGATTATCAATGACGACCGTTTCAAGTATTAAAACTTTGACATGTTTAAATGTTGATGAGTTAAATATGGTGCGGTTAGATTTCTTTACGAGTAGTTGCTCTTTACTAGAACAAACATGGCTGCAAACACATTGACATAAGTTCACAGAGGTTTTATTGGGCTCTTCCTGCAGTAGTTTGGTAGTAAAGTAAAGGCTTGGCGAGGCTTTATTTCTCAGTCATCGTAGTGATTTATTTCAGGTATAGGAGGAGTGTGTGACATGAGCTGCACGTAGGAAATATGTAATGCTTTAATGACATT